GTAAACAGCTGCTGCCTGCTGCTAGCAGTGGGGTAGTGTGTTATTGAGAATGTGTAGACTCAACCAGTAGGTTCATGTGCCTCAAACAGGCTTAAAAGCTCAGTAGATAATCTTCTATAGGTTCGTCCTTGTGAGTGACGCACCCTTAAGAGAGTTACAATATATGACATTTTCATGAACGCTGCTTTAAATGTTGCCCTCCTGTTATATTTTCATGGTGTGTGAGCATACGTTTTATTTCTCATAGTTCACTTTTCCGACAACACATAAATATTTCTGTTTTCATGCTTACCTTGCAGTGATTGTAAGAAGTTGCTCTTTCATAATATTAATAATAATGAAGGGATTATTATTAAAAAAGGACACAGAGTATGAATTAATGTGAACACTGCTTGTGTTGATAATAAATAACTATTTGTGTTTCAGTGAAGTGTATTAAGCACACACCTGCCTACTTCGCTGAGAGACTTTACAAGGCCATGAAGGTGATTATCCCTTTTTTGCTAGATAGTATTTTTTTAATAAATATAATTAGTTTAGTGTAGCATTATATTTAATTTACCTCGCTCTCATTGTATGTATGTGTGTGTGCTTTTTTTCAGGGAGCTGGGACCAAAGACACAACCCTGATCCGGATCATGGTCACCCGTTCTGAGGTTGACATGCTGGATATCCGTCAGGAGTATGTGAAAAACTACGGCAAGTCGCTGTACACGCACATCTCTGTAAGTATCTTCATCATTATATATTCCGTTTAATACATATAGCCACATGGATGATTTAGAAGCAACATGTGTTTTTTGGGACAAATATCTAAATGATTTACTGACAAATGTGTTTTATTGACAGGGAGACACATCAGGAGACTACAAGAAGCTCCTACTGAAGTTCTGCGGGGGCAGTGACTGAAAAGGAAACAGTGACTACTACATTATAGAAATGCTCTATAAATATCAGTTTCCTGCCTAATCTATATGCACATGCCGCAAACCTGCATGCCATGCCAGTACTCTCAATGCAATGTTTACCTTTTTTCAAGAGCCACATATATATTGCTACATATTGTTTTTTTCTATATACAGTATGCCAAAAAGGTCTTTATATTTTTTCACTTGTGATATCTTTGCTGGATATTTGTGTTGAATATGCATGGCCATACGATATAATTGAAAGAGATTAGATTACATTTTTTTCAGAGCTATATATTTTTAAGATATTTTATATCAATTTGCCAATATGATCAGATAACTAAATCTGACATGTTTATCAGCTAATTGTCAGGTCCAGCAATGCTGAATTAGGTACCAGACATAGAATATATTGCAGCTAAGTGCCAAAGTTGTCTGTCAATGTTTGCAATTATGTTGTCCCTTCTAGATTTGTTATTTTCTTTGTTAATCACAATTGGCTTTATATGCAAATATGTCATGTGTATGGTTTATCTTTTTTTAAGCATGTCAAACTTAAGCTTTGCATTTCATCAGTTGTTGGTGATTTTATGTTCATGAGTCTCAGAAAATAAAGGTTGAGAACCTGCGCCGAAAGGGTTTGAGGTTCATCCATCACATGAACTTCATACAAATGTTTTTATTTAAAAATACAACAAACAACATGGACAGTCCTATATTTATCCTCTGGTTCACAAGCAAAAAAATCCTTAAGTGCAATACAAACAGTTTTTATCAGTTGACTTATTAACCTATAGTAATATCCTAAACTGTGACAACCCGTTTTTTAATGCACTGACATTGTTAGCACTTGGTAATAGACTTGGTTTACCACTAGAGGGCAGTAATGTCCTAATCCAACCCCAAAAGTGGGAATTTCTTTTAAGATTTTTTTGCGCCAAATTAGCCTTTATTTAAGATGGCAGTGTTTTAAGGGGGAGACAGAGGGGATGACATGCGTACATGGTTCCAGGCCGGATTCGAACCTGGGTCCTGCGCATGGGAACTGAGTCCCATATGGGCCAGCTCTACCATGGTGAGCTATATGGCGGCCCAAAAAGTGGGAATTTCAACAAGAAAACCTCTTAAATATGCTCAGTGTGAAGAATATTGATCATAATAGGATGGCATCAGTTCAATTAGCGTGATCACAATTTAGTTTGAATTAGTACAGGCAACATAATACACAATGTCTTCATTCTCCAACACTTACAGTGCATTTTACACAATCAATACACATCCATCATTTCTCTTTCCTCGAGGGGTGTGAGGTCAGTATATGTATGGCTGCACATGGAGCTCTCCCTGGCTTATTACGTGCTGTTGGCTTCACTTAAAATGCTGTTGACCACTTGACTGTAGAGATGTGGCTCTGCGCTCGGCTGGCTATGTGGTGTGTGTAAGTCAACTGCACTACGATCAATAACTCTGTGGAGGGGGAGGCCCGTCCTATTGATGGCTTCCATAAAGCTGCCTTGGCAATATTAAACAAGTCTAGCTTTTCTACAGCCATGCTGGAAGACCCATCTTTGATCACATCATGTTCAAATTGACCAGAAATGACTGGAAAGGCTGGAGGGCTTTAGATAGATGTTTAGATTACAATAACTTGAATTTGAATGAAGATTAGACGCAATTAAATCGGTTTTGAGAAGATAATTTAGCCATCATTCTAAAAGTATTCTAAGGCTATTTAAAGTGACTCTGCATGGCTTGTCTCTGCCCACACTGTAGTTCTGATATCATTATGATCAGAATCCTCCCATCTGATCCAGCCATGCTGAAGGCTGTGTAATTCTCTGTTAATTAGAAACCATGAATTGCTTAATTGCATGTCTGTTATTACTGATCTAATCATCAGGGAATCCTCACAGGGCCTCGAGGTGTGATGTATCAAGGGGAAATTATGTTTTTCCATTTTAAAATGTCTTTAAAATTATATATTTATATCCTTTGTTTAGCAAGGTAAGTCTTTGAGAAACAAATATATTTTGTAAGTATGATGATAACCAAAAGAAACATAGTCTTTTTTTAACATGTTGCCTCCTTTTTGAGGTTCTGCACTGTTCATTCAACACTCATTCACTTGCATCCTTCCAGGGTGGAGGTCAAATAGATAAACTATTGTTGAGAATGTATGATCTAAAAGCAGTAAATAAATGCATGTAAAAAGGAGTGGCTATAAAGTTGTTCAGTAAAAGGCTTTTGCTTCTGTCAGCACTGACAGCTCCCTGTAGAATAACTCTATTCAGATATTGATTAAAAATAACTGCATTATGTTCAGTTTGAGAAAAAATGTCACCAGGATAAATGATGTGTTTGCTGACAGTCTCTTGAATAAAAGATAAAGCTATTATCTGCTCTGATACGGGCTGTCAAATCTATTTTATAATATTTCACTAAACAATCAGACAACACCAGCCCTGTTGTCTAAATAATAAACTTATTTATACCCCCAAGATAAAAGGCTGTTTTCTTTTTCAAATGTGAGTAGAATATGCACAAAACGTTCAATCTGTGTCAGCAGTGGCGGCCTGATTTCCTTTGATATGAATAATTTGCAATTAATTTTTCATCTAAAGGGATAGCACATGGTTGCACAAGCTATGGAGCCAGCATGGCAGAGATGGTGAAAAAAAGGGGGGGGGGGGGGAGTCGTAGATGTCACAATGAGATTCAGTGCATGCATGAATAAGGTCATGGTTTGAGAGGTATGCCTGCAGACGCCTGCCTCTGTGCCAACACTCTTTATTCAGCTGCAGACTGGAAGCAGAGTGCATCCATCACCATCATATTGTCCTTTACAAATCCTGCTCAAATACAAATCACATGATGCTTATATGTACAGATATGGCTCACTGCCCCCTTTTATTTTATCCAACACGATACAGTAAGCATTGACATTGGTTGCAAGCTTTGGATATAGAAACGTGGAGTGTTAGCCTGTGTCTACATTGGCATTATTATGCAAGGACTAAATGATATCCTTATATATATATGTTGTTAATATAAAAAATCTTAATGTAGTCAATAAGGGTTATACTGATTCAAGGTATATGGAATATACACAAAGATAACCAATGGAGGAAGAAGCATTTAGATAATGATACTAAAGTAAAGAAGGTAGCACTACAGTGAAACACATGAATGCCCCTTTATACAGCTCTGAAAAGAGACCACTCCAACTGTGTCTTAAATCTCAATCTCTGCACATATGGCAGCCATTCCGTTACAGTGTCTGTTGAATTCCAACACAGATAAATGTTGTCAGTAGTTTATAGAAATGTTACTCAAACACATACCTTTAAATAATAAAACCAGAGAGATTGATATGCTGCAGTGGTCTCTTAATTTGTTATATATAATTCTGAATTGAAAATGTATATTAAATATGTTAATAGGCCTACTTATAATGCAGACATAAATATGTGCCTGTATGTGTTAACTTATACAGTAGTATGTTATTGGATAATGTTACCGTTGCACTAGTCTGTAAATATAATTGTACTGTTTTAATGTTCATACACTGTTTATTACATGTAATCATTATTGTATTCAGCTGAATGTACGTTGTGTATGAAATTCTAAATATGTGAAGTATAAATTAAGAAAAACGAATCATAATTTTACCGTCACAATCTAGTGAAGGTCAAATTATATGTACTGTAATAAGTGGCAGAAAATGGAAATGCTAAAGTGAAGTACATGTAGGCCTATCTCAAAAGTGGATTTAGTGCTCAAGTAAATGTTACATTCCACCACTGCAGACACCAGAAACATTTTTCCGTTTTGTAAAAATAAAAGGTGGCTTTACTCTGAGGATGACTTTCCCAACCTGCACCATACGTCGATATATAAAATATATCTCCATATTTTCATGCAAATTCTCTCCATTCTCATTTTTTCTGCCTGGGATTTACGACGTACTACGGTTTGATGTTTACGCCCATTGAAGAAATAGGTGTGTTTTTTGCGAAAGCCCCGCCCTATTTCTCCTTATATGGTCACTGAACGGCACGTTGATTGACAGCGGGCAGCAGCTGCTGAGTTGCTCAGACATGGCGGAGGATACAGTGTAACTGAGGCTCATCGGCGGAGTTAGGTGAGTTTTCCCAGCAGTCGAGTCGTCCAAGGGCGCCTTAAATGATACATAAGAAGGGGAAAATGTGTTCGGCTAAAGCGTGCTTTGCGAGGAAGCAAAAAAGGACCTGAACAGCCACACACGAGAAAGATGGAAAAATGTATCGCTGTTTAGTGCAGTCAACAGCCTTGGGCAACAAATATGGCTTCTTGTGCCTTTTTCAATATGCTATAAAAATTGATCTCCCGTGCAACCTAATGCCGTGGTGGCTCCGGCTAACTTCTGCAAGCCGCGATAAGTTAAGTTCATTAGTCGCTCGGTACTTTTGATCGGTAAGGACATAACATCCACTTGGCTGTCTGGGTTAGCTGGGAAGCTACGGAACTACAGCGGATAGCCATGGAGTCAAAGCACAAAGAGTTGCTAGACCAGTGCCACCAGAACTTATTGGAGTCCATAACAGATGCGGACCGAGTGATCGAGCTGCTGATAGTTTCTGGAACCTTGAGCCAGCTCGATAGGTTCGAACTGGACCAGAATTGTTCGTCCAGCGCCGAGAAAGTTGACCACCTTTTGAAGATGCTGATGAACAAGGAGAGCGACCATTTCCTCGACCTGTGTGTGGCCCTGGAGAAGGCATACCCTGACCTGTATGCTGCCCTGTTCAGCAACAACGGAGGGGGACCTGTGGACCACTCCACGGGTAAGAGCTGAAACACGAACTACACACACACACAGGCTTTTAATATAGCCCTAAAACCAGCGTAACCCTTCCCGTGAGTAGCCTACAATCTGGGTGGTCTGGCGCAAGTAGACCGTGTGTGGATAGCACAACAGCAAGGCTTACAGCTTGATTTATTATTGACCACAGTTTGTATACAATGCTAATAAAGCTTCATTTGCCGTTTGCAAGAGAAAGCAACAGTGTTCCCCAACCACACGGTCCCTGAATGCAACACTATTCTCTGTTTAAAACACACAACACTATGCACTAGCCTGTGTCTTTAAATATTCAGCAGGACCTGCAGATCTAACACACAGCTTGTGGTTCATAGAGCCAAGGACTACCCTGTCATTATTCTCAGCCATGCTCTCTCCAGTCACTGCAATACACACATTACACATCCATGCTATACGGTTGGTTTACACAGGTATATTACATGTATTCTGTGATATTTGTGCAGCCTTATGAGAAAAAGACAACATAAATGTACCAATATCCCACTCTAACTCCAATTTCTTATCAGTGGCATGTTATGGTTATTAGGTAACCTGACTTGTTTCCATGACAACGGTTGTACTACTGACATGTAAGCCCATACCAACCTGTCCATGGGTATGTGCCTGCACATGCATGCAGACCTAAAGCATGGTTTACTTCAGTCCACCTTCCCTTTTAGAGGGAACCTTGTTAGTATGCTAACTGACAATTTGAACCATATTTTCCCCTTATGGTGCATTAATGCTACATTTATTATTATAGTTTATTCATTATATTCATTGATTTGCATTGTGTCCTCACAGCAACTGCCTTCTCTTCTGCTGTGTTGTAGTGTTGTTGTTGCACAGAGACAAAAGGGAACCAAGTGTAAAAGCCTTGTCTAGTTTTGCCTGTTTTGCTTCTGTGTGAAAGACTGAAGCCAGTGGCTTACTCACAACCAGTGTCATGCCCCCAGGGTCTGAATGCAGGATGAGCCCTGAGATCCAATAGCTGGGAGGAGATGCAGAACAATGCTTCTATGTGACATAATCCACATAAAAAACAACTACATGGGTTATCTTTCAGATCGTTCTGACATAGCCGGAGCTTTATTTCAAAGCAATGTGCCTTTGTTTTGAAAATCACAATGTGATCTATAGTTTGGAGCTGCCAAGTTGTGGCGTGTCTCTGTCTAAGGCTATGAAGCATAGCAGGTAATGCTGAGTTGGTGTCTTGCTGCTCTGCTGACTGGATCGTTAATGCTTCCTTAAGCTTTATAACTTCCTTGTGTTGAGTGTTGCTCCTGCAGAATAACACCTTAACTGAAATACTCTGACGTATGCTGACATTTGTTCACTGCAAAACTGGTCCCTCTGTAAGCCCCTTGACTTTGACTGGACCTGACAATGTGGATTTGGGCTTTTTGCTCGCACACCTTTTTATAGACTGTAGCACTGGGCCTCAGAGGTGACCTGTACTACGAGAGAGTGATTTCCACTAGCTAGTCGGCCTGTAGTTATTCAACAGAGGATTAGGCCCTGCTGTCCTCTCTCTGGTGTAAACTCTCCGTGGTGAGACACGCTCTATCGTGCCTGCACAGTCCCCCGTTAGCTGCCACGCTCTTGGCTACTTCTGTTTTGAGTTTAAGTGTTGTCATTTTTTTTGAATGTGCTTTTTATTATCTTCAGTGTAGTGATTCAGCTGATAACAGCATTTTAACCACACTTGCGAGGTACCCAAGACGAGTCACTCAGTGTGCCTCCAGGCAAAGAAGCTGCTGGTAGATGCAGCTCAGAGGGATGAACTCGTGTGTGTGTGTGTGTGTGTGTGTGTGTGTGTGTGTGTGTGTGTGTGTGTGTGTGTGTGTGTGTGTGTGTGTGTGTGTGTGTGTGTGTGTGTGTGTTGTGTGTGTGTGTGTGTGTGTAGTGTGTGTGTGTGTGTGTGTGTGTGTGTGTGTGTGTGTGTGTGTGTGGTGTGTGTGTGTGTGTGTGTGTGTGTGTGTGTGTGTGTGTGTGTTGTGTGTGTGTGTGTGTGTGTGTGTGTGTGGTGTGTGTGTGTGTGTGTGTGTGTGTGTGTGTGTGTGTGTGTGTGTGTGTGTGTGTGTGTGTGTGTGTGTGTGTGTGTGTGTGTGTGTGTGTGTGTGTGTGTGTGTGTGTCAGTCATCCTCTTCTCATGCTGCCTGCCTGTTCTTGTTCTCAGATGCACATCCTTTGCCAGCTGGCCATCTAAACTCGCACACATTAGGAAATCATTGAAACACCAAAGAAACATCTTCACCCCAAAGGAACAGCATACAGATGCTCATTGTTGAAAACTCAGGCTCTATAAATTATTAGGGTTTTTTGGCAAACTCCAAAGCTCTTTCTCTACAGAACATACACACATTATTTAGCCTGTTTTGTGCATCACTATGCGATAATCTTAACAAACTCACGAACCCTGATATAAACTGTAAAGCAGATCATTCATTTAACATATTGAGTATGACTGAAATGATGTGGCAGAGCACATTTCTGCGTTCTTGAAACAGATTGAATACATTTCAGAAATCCAAGTTGCTACCATCAAGCTGATTTCACGCCTCGGATTGTGTGCTTTTCCCTGTCTACGCTATACATGTAACACTATTCACTACCTGAAGAGATAGTGTACTAGAAGTGATGTATCTGCACATCCCCCTACTCTCTTCATCTTAAAGAGCCTGTTACAGTGATTTAAAGTAACACAATTCTCCCTGACAGGATGCAACGTCAACACAATCTTCTTCTTCTGCTGTCTGTTTGGCTTTATTTTCTCGTGGTCTTGTTTTCTCGCTCTCGTGCTTTGTCTTTTTCTCTCAGGCCCTTCTTTAATTCCTCTCTCTCTTTTCTCTGACTCATTATATTTATTTTCCTCCCATAGAGTGGTTTCGTTTCTCCATGCATTTAAACAGGGGCGACACAGCCGATAGACAGAGGAGGGTGATAGAAAAAAGGGAGCAAGAGAGAGGGGGACAACAGGCCTTTTGTTGAGAAGTTGAGCAGGCCCAAAAGTGCCCTGTCAGCAGCTTGCTGTGTGTGTGTGTGTGTGTGCGTGTTCCTCTCTGCCAACCAGTTTCTGTCCCACTCCATAAACCACAGTGGACAGACAGCATGAGTTATGACCCTGACGCTCTTGTCAGGACTGGTGCTCTTAAATATCTCCCATGGGCTGGACCTGGCCTCACTTCCTTTCTCTCTCTCTCTCTCTCTCTCTCTCTCTCTCTCTCTCTCTCTGTCACCCAGTGACGCACACTGTCGCTCACCTCATCACCCCACTCTCTTTCCCCTTAGCAATCTCTGTACTCCTAGTCCAACTTTCTTCTGTTCTCACTGAAGAAGCCATCAGTGTATCTATTGTTAGGGTTTCTGCTCAGGTGCAATTGACAATTCTCATGAGTTACATTAGAGTGCAGTTTTTTTTAACATCTTTGAACATTGAAAGATCGTTGGTCAGACAAAATATGAAACAATTGAGAACCCAGATAAGCAAATCATCAGTTCCATTACTTTAGTTGTTATTAGCCGTGTTAAAGGTATGGGGTTTCTTGTCAGTACCAATAAATCCATTGAATCGAGGCATGAGATGCAGGCCAATGAGAGGTCGACCTCTCCATGGATCTTTTGTTATTGTTCCAACGTTATCCTCTTGTACACACCATCTTTTTAGTCTTACATGCCTTTGTATATTCTCACTTTATAATTAACGTCTGATGGCATCTAACCTCTATGTGAGCCACAGCCAGGAGGCTTTACTGTGGAACAGGACTTCATTACCATTTTACACATGTTCCTCCACTTTCTAATTACCCCACTAGGTCGAGGAGTTGCCAGCTTCTAAATGTTTACCAGTTCTATGAAGTCATGGAAATAAACAGCTTTTCCCCTTGTCTTACCACCCCCACCTCTACCAGGCCTTTTTGTTGTGGCGGTCTTATGCTTTGCTCTGCCTCCTCTCTTCTCTTTTCCTCCCATCATGGTGTCCTAGCTTGCTCTCCCCCTCTCTGCCTGCCTTGTCTCGCCATCTGCTTTATTCTCTCTTTATCGGTCCTGTCCACACCTGCAGTCATTTGTCCTCCAAAAATCTAGCACCAGATGACAGATCAAATTTTGAACAATCGCGGTATACATTTGTGGTGATTGGCATGAGTGGAGCCAATTGCCGAAATTAGACGGAATGGCATTTTCTTCCTGGCTGAGCGTCCGGGTGATTCACTTGTCAGAAACCTGAAGGAAGAGAGCCAAGTGGGCAGATACCTTCCATTTATAAACATACAATTATTTACATCATGTGCTATACACTGTAGGATCACGTTGCAACACATTCTTTGTTGCCCGTAATATAGTATACACTAGAAAAGGCCCATCTGTCACATCTGCAGTGTTTGCTCTGAATGCTGATCATGTGCTACACTGGATTCCCTTCTCTAGGTGACCTTTTAAGAAATGATGGTGCAGTTTAATCACTGAATTATCTGAACACTCTATGAAAATGCTGTCTGAATTAGCATGGCTTCCTCTTTGATAAAACATGAAAGGAATGTCACAAAGATTGCCCAAATTCCAGCAGCAGTGGGTTTTTCCACACAGGCGTTTTTTTCTTCTTGCTTTCTGGTTATTTTTGTACTGGCTACAGTTATCAGCAGTGCCTTTGGAGGACATGTTGCTACCATCTTTCACCTTTTTTGTTTTTGACCCAACCCTTGGCACACGCAAGCTGTTTATAAACAAAATTATTTCTCGTTTTTTGCTGAGGTAGGGCTCTTTGCAGAGAGATAACCCATTATGGTGTGCTGATACCAGGCTGGGTTAGATTGCACCCATGGGGGCTTTTTTTGGTCTTTGGTCCTGCTCAGCAGTTCTGAAAATCTGTTTGGCTGAAGGACCCTTTTTTTTGTATTTCTATAAAGGTATTCTTCTACACATGTCCTCGTTTGTCACCTCATGTCCCAGAGTGTTTATGAAGGTCCAACACAGGTCCTACGT